TGCTGGGGTACAGGGACACAGAGGTGGAGGTGTGGGGCAGGAGTGGAGCTCCAAGGAGGGCTCGGAGCCATCCTGCCCACCCCACTTGCCCCTCTAGGGTGGACCCGGGGGGCCTGGCGGAGCAGAACGGCATTCGGGTGGGAGACCAAGTCCTTGCAGCCAACGGAGTCAAGTTTGAAGACATAAGCCATAGCAAGGCAGTGGAGGTGCTCAAGGGGCAGACCCACATCATGCTAACCATCAAGGTACCCCTGGCTGGGGTGGAGGTGGCCGGTGTGTCCCCAAGGCTGGCGCTGCCCCAGCTCGTGCCTGGCGCCCGTGGGGCTGGCGCAGCCACCGGCTGGTTGGGTTTCAGGCGAGTGGGAGGCGGGGAGAGGGGGGGGGAACAAGGGAAGTGGGGGGGATGCATTATTCATGGCTGGCACCGGATCGGGTTCACCCAGCTCACGCTGACCCCCAGGTCCTCTCTCCCCCTCTGCCTAGGAGACCGGCCGGTTCCCTGCCTACAAGGAGATGGTGGCCGAGTACTGCTGGCTCAGTCGCTGTAAGGGCAGTGCCGGGCGGGTACTGGAAGGGACCCTGGGCTGTGGGGTGGGGGAGCTGGGACCCCCACGCAAGGGGCAGCCAGCCCCGGTGGGGAGGGAGAAGGTCCTCGTGCCACGGGGTCTCATGGCCACGAAGCTCCCTGTGCCGTGCTCAGCATCCCCATGGCCTCAGAGCGGGGCATGGAGCTCCCCATGCCATGGTCAGCACCCCCATGACCTCAGAGGGGAGCATGGAGCTCCCCGTGCCATGGTCAACATCCCCATGGTCTTGGAGGGGGGCATGGAGCTCCCCATGCCATGATCAGCATCCCCATAGCCTCAGAGCAGGGCATGGAGCTCCCTGTGCCATGGTCAGCATCCCTATGGCCTCGGAGGAGGGCATGAAGCTCCCCATGCCATGGTCAGCATCCCCATGGCCTCAAAAGGGGGCATGAAGCTCCCCGTGCCATGGTCAGCATCACCATGACCTTGGAGGGTGGAATGAAGCTCCCTGTGCCATGGTCAGCAACCCCATGACCTCAGAGCAGGGCATGGAGCTCCCCGTGCCATGGTCAGCATCCCCATGGCCTCGGAGGGGGGCATGGAGCTCCCTGTGCCATGGTCAGCATCTCCATGGCCTTGCAGGGTCCCACCTGTCCCCCATTCTCTTAGGGGACACGAAGAGCCCTATGCCATGGCCAGCAGACACCTGGTCCCCACATCCTTGTGTGTCTCCGCATGTCCTCTTGTCCTTTGGGGCAGCAGCAGAACTCCCCGAGGCCCCATGGTGTGTCACCCCATGGTGTGTGTCACCCCATGTTGCATGTTGCCCCATGTCTCCGCTCTGCCTTTGCAGTGACCAACGGGCAGCTGCAGCAACTCTCCCAAGCTTCGGAGACCAGCTCCTCCATCTCCTCCTATTCCTCGGGGCCAGCACCCGGGGCGGTGAACGGGCTCGGCGCGGCCACCTCGGGACCCCCCACCCGCACCGTGGACGTGGCCATCTCCACGGAGGACGGGCCCCGGCGGGGCTGGGGGCGGGAGCGTGCCGAGAGGGCCATGCAGACCGAACCGGCCGCCGAGGGGCTGCCGGAGACGCGCCGTACGGTGCGGCCCCCCGAGCTGCTGCGGGACACGGCCATCCGGGGCCAGGGAGGGACCCGCGAGCCCCCCGGCACCCACCCGCGCCGGGCCTTCACCCACTCGCCCAAGACGGCGCTGCTGCTGGCGCTGAGCCGGCCCCGGCAGCCCATCACACGCTCCCAGAGCGACCTCACCGTCGCCGGTAGGCACCGGGGCACGGCCCCACAGCTGGTTGGCGTTCCCCTCCATCCCTGCACCCCCAGCCCCCTGCATCCTGTAGCTCAGTCTCTGCCCCACACGGAGCCTGCCCCCCACTCCAGCATCCTATAGCCGCTGCCCCACATGGATACCTGGCCCCCACTCGTGGGCATCCTATAGCTGAGTCCCTGGCCCCCACCCCAGCACCCTCTGCCCCCCACCCTATATGGACCACTCCTGTCCTCGGGGCTTGCAGGGCACCCCAAAGCCCACCTCTGCAGGCCCTGGAGATCCCCTGCACCCCACAGCAGGTCTCTCTTCCCCAATCAGTTCCCCCCCAGTAGCCTCCTCAGGTTCCCTGCCCAAGGTTCTTCAGGTTCTTCTCAGCCCCAAACATCATCTGGGGTGGCATCTTTCAGCCCCCCCCAACTCCAACCCCCCCTCTCTGTCCCCAGAGGAGAAGCGGAAAAAGGAGAAGCCGGAGGTCCAAGGGGCACGGGGGGCTCCCCCGGGGCTGCACCGCTCCAAGACCCTCGTCAACCTCTTCTTCAAGGGGGGCCGTGCCACCAGCCAGAGCTGGGCCCCCCCCAGCCAGGAGCCCCCCACCTCCGACCGCCGGGCACGGGCCAAGTCCCCAGGGCGCCCTGATGGGGACAGAGGTACTGGGCTGGGGGACAGGGCAGAGAGGGACCCGACCTGGGACCGGTCCCACCTTCTGGGGGCATCGCAGCCCCACTGTGGCATCCCTGGCATGATGGGGGGGGGGCATGGGAGGGGTCCTTAGGCATGAGGTGTTGGCGATGGGCAGCGATGCCGCTGACCCCCCCCTTGGGTGCTCACCCCCTCTCCATCTCCCTTGCAGTAGGTGCTGTGCAGAAGTTTGTCATCCGGAGCCTGAAGCGGGGTAACGGGGGTGCCTGTGTGCCCGGAGGGGGGGTGGGGCTGCTGCAGGGCAGGCTCTGCATGCGCCTGGCCCCACACTGCATGTGTCTGAGTGCTGTGGATCAGGGTGGGGGGGATCGAGGTGGTGGTGGTGGGGGGGGTGTCCAGGGTGGTCCCTACCCCTCTGGCCACCCCTTTTTTGCTCTGTCCCCCCCACTCCAGAGAAAAGCCGGCGTGCCAGCATCCTGGGCCCCGCGGGCATCGCTGCCCTGCAGCCCAGCAGCAGCAGCGACCCCGAGTCCCGGCTGCCCCACATCCAGGACACTGCCGCACGCCTCCTCAGCCCCGACGAGGTGACGGCCGTGCTCCGACACTGCTCCCGGGTAGGGCACCGCGGGCAGGGGTGTGGGATTGGTGCTAGAGTGGGTCCAGAGAAGAGCAACAAAGCTGGTGAGGGGTCTGGAGCACAAGTCTGATGAGGAGAGGCTGAGGGAGCTGGGGGGGTTCAGCCTGGAGAAGAGGAGGCTGAGGGGAGACCTTCTGGCTCTCTCCAACTCCCTGAAAGGAGGGTGTAGCCAGGGGGGGTCGGTCTCTGCTCCCAACTCACAGGCGACAGGACAAGAGGAAACGGCCTCAAGTTGCACCAGGGGAGGTTCAGGCTGGATATTAGGAAAAATTTTTTCACCGAAAGGGTTCTCAGCTATTGGAATGGGCTGCCCAGGGAGGTGGTTGAGGCCCCATCCCTGGAGGTGTTCAGAAGACGGGTTGATGTAGTGCTGGGAGGTATGGGTTAGTGATGGTGATGCTTCTTGTTTGTTGTGTGGGTGTCTATTTTTGTCAGTTAGGTTGACGGTTGGACAAGATGATCTTTAAGGTCCCTTCCAACCTAGAAGATTCCTAGAAGATTGGGGGGGATGAGGGAGGGTAGGTTTCACTGCGACACCCCACGTTAAGCTGTGGGAGGTAAACTGAGGCAGAGAGGAGGGGACACCACCTCCTGACATCCCTCCTGCGCCCGCAGTACCTGCACGAGGGCAGCGTGGAGGATTTGGTGCGGCCGCTGCTGGCCATCCTGGACCGGCCAGAGAAGGTCCTGCTGCTGCGGGATGTGAGGTGGGTGGTGGCTGGAGGGGACCCCAGGGTACCCCAATACCAACCCAGCTGGGTGGGACAGACCCACAGCCCCAGGTGCTCTCTTCAGCCCCGTTCCCAGAGGCAGCCACAACCTGTCCCTCCTTCTTTGTCCTGGCCAGGAGCGTGGTGGCCCCCACGGACCTGGGCCGGTTTGACAGCATGGTGATGCCCCTGGAGCTGGAAGCCTTCGACGCCCTGAAGAGCCGCTCAGGTAGAGCCTACCCCCCACCCGAGGACCTTGACCGTGGTGGGGACAGCGGGCAGGTGTGGGCAGAGCCCAGGGAGGGTGACTGGTCGCTCCCCCTGCCCGCAGTGCGCTCGCCTGCCCTCCGCCCAGCCCACCATGATGTCCCCCCCAAGAGACACCTCATCACACCAGTGCCTGGTGAGTGCCACCCCACAGGGGCAATTTGGGAGAGGAGGAAGAGAGCTGGGACGCCTGGGTGCAGGGGGTCCCAGGGGAGAGGGAGGCTGGTGCCCCTGGGTGCTGGGAGGTAGTAGAGGAGCAGGATCTGTGGACCCTGGATACCCTATGTTCTTGGGGAGGAGGACCGGGAGAGTGCTGGGGTGCCTGGGTCTCTGAGGTCCTTGGGAAGGCAGCCAGGGTGCCTAGGTGTCCCTGGAGGACGAAGACATGGGGCCCTTGGTGCTAAGGGGGTCACTGGGTGGTAGGGGTCCCAGGGAGCAGAGCTGTGGGGGTCTGAGGGGATCCCTGGGTGGTGGGGGTCCCCAGGGAGCCGGGCTTTCATGTCCTGGAGGGATCCATGGGTGGTGGGAGTCCCAGGGAGCAAGGCTGTGGGGGTCCAAGGGGATCCCTGGGCTGTGGGGGTCCCACGGAGCAGGGCTGGGGGGGTCCAAGGGGATCCTTGGGTGATGGGGGTCCCAGGGAGCAGGGCTGGGGGGCTCCAAGGGGATCCATGGGTGGTGGGGTCCTGGGGAGTAGGGCTGTGGGGTGGTCTAAGGGAATCCATGGGTGGCGGGGGTCCCAGGGAGCAGGGCTGGGGGGTTGCAGGGGGGATCCCTGACCCCCTCTCGTTGCAGACTATCGAGGGGGGTTCCTGCTGAAGCCGGCGGGGGCCCCAGAGCCGGAGGAAGCCGGGGGGCTGCAGGCGAGCCCGGCCCGGCCCCCAGCCCCCCCCCGCCCCCCCCCGCCTCCCCCCCCCCCCCCCCCCCCCCCCCGGGGGGGGTTGTTCTCTTTTCCTCTCATCAGCATAAACTGTCTCAGCACCATGGCCATCATCTTCATCTCCTACAGCCATATCCTCCCTGCTGTCCTGAAGATTCGCTCTCTGGAGGGCAGGAGAAAAGCCTTCTCCACCTGTGCTTCCCACCTGACGGTCGTCATCATGTTTTTTGGGGCAATCTTGTTCATGTACCTACGCCCCAGCTCCACCTACGCGTTGGGTGAGAACAAGAGTGCCACGCTGTTTTACACCATCATGACCCCCACACTCAACCCCTTGGTCTACAGCCTGAGGACCCCCCGCCAGCCCCCGACCCCCCAACTGGCTGCTGGCCGAGCCCCCCTCGGCCGAGGGGCGCGGGCGCTCACGGAGCCCCCGGCCCACCTGGCACAAGGAGCCCCCCGGGTCTGTGCCCGACGGAGGGGCTGACGTGCTGGGGAAGCCCCGGCGGGCACGGCCCCCCCTTGCACCCCTATTTGGGGGGCCAGGGGGTGAGGCGGGGGCTGGGATGACCATCAATGGCCCTGGGGATGCCGGCAGGGAGGAAGAGGAGGAGGAGGAGTACCGGCTGCTCACCGTCACCCTCTCCAAGCTGAAGCACTCGCTGGGTGGGTGGCACAGGGGTGGGACACCAGGGCTGGGGTGGGGACCCTCCTCCTGGCACCAGCATCACTGGGATGAGAGGGACCCCCATGGCAGTTGGGACCCCCATGGCAAGGGACACCCCGTTTAGGGAACAGGGGGGAACACCCCAAAGGCTGCCCCTACCTACTCCTCCAAAACTAGATGGGAAGAAGAGGAGCTGCTGCTCCCCAGTGCCTTCGTCCCTGTAGGACCTACCAAAACAGGGCAGGACAGAGGCACAGCTGCCCAGGGAAGGGGGTGCCATGCCCGGGAGTGGGTGTTATGGGGGGGGGTCCCAGCCTACCTGGGTGTAAGTGTCCCATGGCTCCTTTGCAGGGATCAGCATCTCCGGTGGCATCGAGTCGAGGGCACAGCCGGTGGTGAAGATCGAGAAGATCTTCCCTGGAGGAGCTGCCTTCCTCAGCGGCGTCCTCAAGGTACAAAAAGGGGTGGAGGGGGACATCAGGGGGTCCCAGCACACCCCGAGGGGTGGGCAGACAGCCAGACAGGCCCCATCCTGCGGTGCTGCTGGGTGTTGGCATCCCCCTAGCACCCCAAAAGCCTCCCTACTTCCCCCCCCCCCCCACTGCCTTCTCTCCCGGGTGGCCAGGCTGGGCAGGAGCTGGTGTCAGTGGATGGAGAGAGCCTGCAGAACGTCACCCACCAGCGGGCCGTGGACATCATCCGCCAGGCCTACCGCAACAAAGCCAAGGAGCCCATGGAGCTGGTGGTGCGGGTGGTTGGAGCCCCCCCGGAGTGATGCTGCACACCCCCCACCCCTGCACTTTGATGAGCCATCCCGCCTCCAGGAAGGAGATGGCTGGCTCATTCCTGCACCGAGCTGTGACCGGTCTCAGCACAGGCAAAGGGCACAAGAGCCAGAGCTGCCCCACGGGCACAGAGGAGCTGCCCTCAAGCAGCAGGACTCAAGGCCGGGGTTAGGGGTGGGGGGGCAATGCTGATGAGGCAAGAGGGGGACAGGCAGCCCCCAACCCTGCTCTGGACAGACAGACAGACACAGCCTTGAGAAAAAAAAGAAAAAAAAAAAACAGCCAGGGGCTTGTTTTTACTGGGCGATTCCGGGTGGTACAAGGGAATGGGATGCGACTGAAATAAAGTACAAAAATCCCCCTCCGGAGTTGGGGGCGACCAAGCCAGAGCTGGGCACAGCCAGGCTTTTCCTTTGGTTTGACACCCCCACACCCCAACCCAGGCACCCCCACCTCTGCCCACCCCAGGGGTGTCCCCAGCTGTCACCCCCGGCACCGTGCCCCTCTCCCCTGGCAAACTGGGCATCACAGGGGCATGGGCCAGGCAATTTCGGGGGGAGGGGGTGGGGGGGGGGGCGGGGAAGG